CTCTATCATATCTACATTTAAAACTGTGTATGGAGTCAGCCTCCACCACATCACTGCCTAATGCATTCCATCCGTTAACTACTCTGACACTGAAAAAGTTCCTTCTAATGTCTCTGTGGCTCATGTGGGTACTCAATTTCCACCTGTGTCCCCTTGTTCGCGTCCCACCAGTGTTGAATAGTTTATCCTTGTTTACCCGGTCGATTCCTCTGAGGATTTAGTAGGTTGTGATCATGTCTCCCCTTACTCTTCTGTCTTCCAGTGTCGTAAGGTGCATTTCCCGCAGCCTTTCCTCGTAACTCATGCCTCTTAGTTCTGGGACTAGTCTAGTGGCATACCTTTGGACTTTTTCCAGCTTCGTCTTGTGCTTGACAAGGTACGGGCTCCATGCTGGGGCCGCATACTCCAGGATTGGTCTTACATATGTGGTGTACAAGATTCTGAATGATTCCTTACACAGGTTCCTGAACGCTGTTCTGATGTTAGCCAGCCTCGCATATGCCGCAGACGTTATTCTTTTTATGTGGGCTTCAGGAGACAGGTTTGGTGTGATATCAACTCCTAGATCTTTCTCTCTGTTCGTTTCATTAAGTACTTCATCTCCTATTCTGTATCCTGTGTTTGGCCTCCTATTTCCACCACCTAGTTTCATTACTTTGCATTTACTCGGGTTGAACTTCAACAGCCATTTGTTGGACCATTCACTCAGTCTGTCTAGGTCATCTTGTAGCCTCCTACTATCATCCTCAGTTTCAATCCTCCTCATAATTTTTGCATCATCGGCAAACATTGAGAGAAACGATTCTATACCCTCTGGAAGATCATTTACATATATCAGAAACAGTATAGGTCCAAGGACTGACCCCTGCGGTACTCCGCTCGTAACGTCTCGCCAATCTGAGACCTCACCCCTCACACTGACTCGTTGTCTCCTGTTACTTAGGTACTCCTGTATCCAACGGAGTACCTTCCCTTTCACTCCAGCCTGCATCTCCAGTTTTTTCACTAGCCTCTTGTGTGGCACTGTGTCAAAGGCTTTCTGACAATCCAAAAATATGCAGTCTGCCCACCCTTCTCTTTCTTGCCTTATTTTTGTTGCCTGGTCGTAGAATTCAAGTAACCCTGTGAGGCAGGACCTGCCATCCCTGAATCCATGTTGATGCTGTGTTACAAAGTTCTTTCGCTCCAGGTGCTCCACTAGCTTTCTTCGCACAATCTTCTCCATCATCTTGCATGGTATGCAGGTTAGGGACACTGGTCTGTAATTCAGTGCCTCCTGTCTATCCCCTTTCTTGTATATCGGGACTACGTTAGCTGCTTTCCAAATTTCTGGCAGTTCCCCTGTTGCCAGCGATTTGTTATACACCATGGAGAGCGGGAGGCACAGTTCTTCTGCTCCTTCCTTTAGTATCCAAGGGGAGATTCCATCTGGGCCTATAGCCTTTGTCACATCCAATTCTAGTAAACACTTCCTTACTTCCCCGCTGGTAATCTCAAACTCTTCCAGTGGTTCCTGGTTAGCTATTCCCTCTCTTATCTCTGGGATTTCTCCTTGCTCTAAGGTGAAGACTCTTGGAATTTCTTATTCAGTTCCTCACACACTTCCTTGTCGTTTGTAGTGAATCCTTCTGCCCCTAACCTTAATTTCATAACCTGTTCCTTTACTGTTGTTTTTCTCCTGCTGTGGCTATGCAGCAATTTAGGCTGAGTCTTTGCCTTGCTTGCGATGTCATTTTCGTATTGTCTTTCTGCCTCTCTTCTCATCCTAACATATTCATTCCTGGCATTCTGGTATCTTTCTCTGCTCTCCAGTGTCCTGTTATTCCTATAGTTTCTCCATGCCCTTTTACTTTGCTGCTTAGCTAGCCTACATCTCTGATTAAACCATGGGTTTCTCATCTTCATTTCACTGTTTTCCTTTTGGACTGGGACAAACTTGTTTGCTGCATCCCTGCATTTTTGCGTGATGTATTCCATCATATCTTGGGCCATCTTTTCCCTGAGCTCTGTTTCCCATGCTATATCTGCTAGGCATTTTCTTATCTCCTCATAGTTTCCCTTTCGGTATGCTAACCTTTTGGTTTCGGTATCCCTTCTCGAGTTCAATAACCCTTCTTCAATCAGGTACTCAAACACCAATACACTGTGGTCGCTCATTCCTACTGGGTCCTCAAAACTGATTTCTCTTATGTCAGAGTCGTTCAGGGTGAAAACCAGGTCGAGTCTCGCTGGTTCGTCATTTCCTCTCATCCTTGTGGGTTCACTGACATGCTGGGTTAAGAAGTTTCTAGTCGCCACCTCCAGTAGTTTTGCTCTCCACGTATCCTCGCCTCCATGCGGTTCCTTGTTCTCCCAATCAATCCTGCCGTGATTGAAGTCCCCCATGATGAGCAGGTGGGATCTATTTCTACAGGCAGAAGTATGTATGTATGTATGTAGTACCTAGTAGCCACCATGGAGTTTCACCATGGGTTCTGAGAGAATGTGCAGTTGAGCTTAGCATACCACTTAGGCTGATTTTTCAGACATCCTTGTGTACAGGAGTCGTAGCAGATGTGTGGAAACAGGCTAACATAGTTCCAATCTACAAAAGTGGCAGCAGGGAAGACCCCCTCAATTATAGACCTGTATCATTGACTAGTGTAATAGTGAAAGTATTGGAAAAACTAATCAAAACTAAATGGGTAGAACACCTGGAGAGAAATATAATATCAGACAGACAGTATGGTTTTCGATCTGGAAGATCCTGTGTATCGAATTTCCTCAGTTTCTATGATCGAGCCACAGAGATTTTACAGGAAAGAGATGGTTGAGAGTGAGCGAGAACGAACGAACGAACGCCTTAGCAATAGGAAGCTGAGAGTTACAGTGTTACGGTGAGACTTGGATTGGCGTGAAGTCACCAGTGGAGACCCACAGGGCTCTGTACTCGGTCCTATCTTGTTTCTGATATACGTAAATGATCTCCCGGAGGGTATATATTCATTTCTCTCAATGGAGGACAGAAGAAAATGTATATGTGCTGGCTAGTATTGTAAATGTGTGGCCACGTCTGTGGTACAAAATAATAATAAAAAAAAATTTCAATGTTTGCTGACGATGCCAAAATTATGAGAAGGATTAAGACAAGAGGAGGACTGCTTGAGGCTTCTAGAAGACCTAGACAAGCTGAAGGAATGGTCGAATAAATGGTTGTTAGAGTTTAACCCAAGCAAATGTAATGTAATGAAGATAGGCATAGGGAGCAGGAGGCCAGATACTAGGTATCATCTGGGAGATGAAATTCTTCAAGAGTCAGAGAGAGTAAAAGACTTGGGGGTTGACATCACGTCAGACCTGTCCCCTGCAGCCCATATCAAGAGGATAACATCAGCAGCATATGCCAGGCTAGCCAACATAAGAACGGCATTCAGAAACTTGTGTAAGGAATCATTCAGAACTTTGTATACAGTACCACATATGTTAGGCCAATCCTGGAGTATGCAGCCCCAGCATGGAGTCCATATCTAGTCAAGCATAAGACCAAACTGGAAAAGGTTCAAAGGTTTGCCACCAGACTACCCGAGCCGAGAGGTAGGAGCTACAAGGAGAGGCTACAGGAATTAAACCTCACTTCGCTGGAAGACAGAAGAGTAAGGGGGGACATGATCACCACATTCAAGGTTCTCAAGGGAATTGATAGGGTAGATAGAGACAGGCTATTTAAAACAAGGGGCACACACACTAGACACAGGTGGAAACTGAGTGCCCAAATGAGTCACAGAAATATTAGAAAGAACTTTTTTAGTGTCAGAGTGGTTGACAAATGTTGGAAGTGATGTGGTGGAGGCTGACTCCATACACAGTTTCAAGTGTAGATATGATAGAGCCCTGTAGGCTCAGGAACCTGTTCATAAAAGGTGCAAAGACATGCTACGATGTGGCTCTCAGAACTGAAGGGCAAGAGCTATGAGGAGAGGTTGGAAGCATTAAACATGCCAAAACTAGAAGACAAGAAAAAGAGGTGATATGATCACTACATACAAAATAGTAACAGGAATTGATAAAATCGACAGGGAAGATTTCCTGAGACCTGGCACTTCAAGAACAAGAGGTCATAGATTTAAACTAGCTAAACACAGATGCCGAAGAAATATAAGAAAATTCACCTTCGCAAATAGAGTGGTAGACGGTTGGAACAAGTTAAGTGAGAAGGTGGTGGAGGCCAAGACCGTCAGTAGTTTCAAAGCGTTGTATGACAGAGAGTGCTGGGAAGACGGGACACCACGAGCGTAGCTCTCATCCTGTAACTACACTTAGGTAATTACCTGTTGATTGACGGTTGAGAGGCGGGACCAAAGAGCCTGAGCTCAACCCCTGCAAGCACAATTAGGTGAGTACACACAGACGCACGCACACGCACGCTAGCAACTTTATCCCATGGGGGGTAGCTTTATCTAAAATTTTCTCATGCCTTAGGCCCTACTCCTTGGATTGGTATTAGCAAAGAAAGCTGATATACAGTAATTTAATGCAGCGATATGACAGGAAAATGAAGGATGGGCATATTGCATTTTCCTAGATTACCAAAATGCATTTAAATTGGCTCTTTTCCAATGGCCCGTGCAAAAAGAGTAAAGATATACTGGAGTGACTTTAAATATACTAATGAGTAGTAAACACAGTCAAGGTATTGGTATCGTACTGGAGAGATCTACCACATCACCCACTCTTATTTTCTCCTGTGTGTCTGTATTTGAATATATTATGTAAATGGGTGAATTTTTTGTTATAGAATACTGTATTAATAATTGTTTGCATTGTGAAATATGCCAAAAAATGTTTCTGGTGAAGATGTTCCTCATTCTTCTTTGACTGAAACATATCTAGTTATAAAATTTTGTATTAGATGTTGCACTGTATACATTATATTTATCACAGTAGTCTTCACCAGTCATCTGTGCTTGTTTTCCATTCAGTTGCTTATTATTTTAAGTTTCAAAACTAGTCTAACTTCACAGGATAAAGATCGTGGCGGAGAAGCTCGTATCAGATGGAGAAGTGAGAATGGGAGCAGTGGCAGCGGTACTCCTGAGCATGATGCTTCTGAGGTATGAGCTAAATCATTGAAAATATAGGTGACATTTCTCACATAGCAGTGGTATCATTAGCCCTTGGTTAGTTTTCCATGTTTCTAGTGCATATCACTGGATTGATAGTACTTCATGTATCATTATGGTTTCCCATTGTTGAGGAGAGGAAGCCTGGTGGACTTACTGAGATCCCCAGGCCAACAACTGACCTTTCCCAGGATGCAACCCACAAATGTTGTGAAACTCCTGGGTATTTATTTACTGCTAGGTGAACAGACCCATTAGATATAAGGAAATGTGCTAAAAATTTTCACCCTGCCTGGGAATTGAATTGGTCCAATCAGTTTAGAGCCAACTGCGCTATTCATTCATAAATTGCAGTACAGTGAATTGATGCATTTGTGACTATAAGTATATTATTGTATGCAGAAAACATAAGTACAATAGTACATTTGTTGATCAGATAAATTTATTCCAGGCCTTATCCACTTTGCATATGTATTTTGTTTATATTTTTATTGCTGTGGCTTATTGGATATACAGTAGTATTTTTTCATATTACATAACTTGTGTGTTATTGTTAATTGGTGTTCAACCACTCACATGTTTACAAAGGTAAATTGAAAAAATTTATTTTTCTCTGTCAGGAGAGGAGCTACACTCCCCCTATGCACACAGACCTTCGAGTAGCATCAAGACGATGTCAGGGATCCTCTGACGATGGTGATTCGTCAAGATCCCTGTCTCTCACTCCCCCAAGACGTCCCGCTTCACCACATACACGTAATAATATAAATGATAGAAATAATCAGCAAAGCCCTCCGGATTCCTCAAGAGTACCTCTGTTGCCTCACAGATTGGGGAATGCTTCTCCTTCAGCATCACCACCAAGCCCTCCCATTCAACCTACCTCATCAGTCCCTTCACTTCCAAGATCACCGGGTACTCCTCCAATGTCAAGATCGAGTTGTATTCCTCCAAGATCCCCAAGTTCTCCTAACCCTCTTAAGTCCCCAGGATCTTCATCCATAACATATCCTTCCTTATCCTTTTCTTACCCAGGGCACCCTGAAAACACTACTGCTACTAGAATATGTTCCACTTCATCACCACCCTTTCCTCCAAGACCTCATGAAACATCTCTCAGACCTAATTCTCCAACTCATTCATTATCACCTGAATCCCCATGGTTCCTCAGATCCCCAGGAACTCCACCACCCCCTCCAAGATCACCGGAAATTCCTCCACTTCCACCAAAGTCTCCTGAAACTCCTCCCCTTCCTCCGGGGTCTCCTGAAAGCCCACCACCACCTCCAGTATCAAGAGAAAGTTCCCACAGACTAGAAGAAACTAATTCCAATTCATATAGTTGTGAAGGAAGAGGTTTAGGAACTTTGGAAGATACCCCACCTCTTCCTCCCGTGTCTCCTGGTACTCCTCCACCTCTGCCACTACCCTCAGAAACCCCACCACTACCACCTACATCCCCAGGAACCCCTCCACCACCTCATATGTCTCCTCAAAGCCCCATATGTCGAAATTCATTTAATCATTCTCCTCCATCATTTAAAAATCTCCTTCCTTCATTGTCACCAAGAGCATTTTCACCATCACATACAGAATCTCATGAAAACTGTGCCAATCCTGTTTTAAATTCAGATTCATGCTTTAGGGATAGTATGCTTCATGAGGACAACTCAGAAAGAGATACGCCATCACCATTACCTGATTGTACTTTTGAATGTCCTAAATCCCCGTCACCTCAGTTCGGTTCTCCATCATCATCACGTTCACCCTCTCCATCGCCAATCCCAGTTGCAAGACCAAGAAGTCCACTCCAATCTATAGCACCCCTGCAGCAATCAATTAGAGTAGTTGCCCCTCCAAGTCCACCACCTGTTCCACTAAAAGCAGAAATGTTATCACCTAGGGTGCCTGTTCCTGACATTCTTTCACCAACTAATTCAGTTAAAACAGATATAATGTCTCCACCCCACCAAAGTCCACACCAAGGTATTCTTTCCCCAACACATCCCACTAGAGCCAAGCTAGTATCACCTGTTTCTTCTGTATGTCCGAAATCCCCGAAAGTTAGAAGTCCACCAAGAACACGTCCGAGAAGTCCTATGGATTTACCAGTTCCAAGGTGGAAACCAGATCCAATTATAAGACAAAAAAGGGCATCAGAGTCAAGAACATCTGTATCTTCTATTTCTTCTGTGTCATCTGTTACAGAAGTCATTGTTGCAGTAACCCCAAGACCAGTTACAATTCCTCCTACAGCAGAAAAGCTGCGCAGATTCAGTGAAGAGGAGGGCCTTGACTTAAGGGAAAGATCTGCTAGTGGAGAGGGGCATGATACGGCAGAGAGTGGTTTTGATGAGGGGAGTGATTTGTCTCCTGATCACAAGCCAGAAGCCTCTCTTAAAGGTGAACCTCTTGATGTGGATTCAAGATCTCAAGATATAATCGAAGGGGAGGGAACGAAAAAGGAAGATTGTGCAAAAATAAATTCTGAAATCATACCAAAGCTGGACTTCAAAAGTGAAGTATTGGACGAACTTTGTAAATTTGCTGAAGAGGGTGATACATCAATTTACACAGGTCCACAAGGAAAGACAATCAAAATGGAGGATGAGCAGGATATCAAAGTCCCCAAGGATGAAGATCAAATACCATCGCTGACAAAAGGGGAATCATATATTAAAACCACCACCTTACGAAAACCTCCAACTTCATCCAAGAAAACGGAATCGCCAAAGAGTTTAGAGCAGTCAGCCACACCAAAGAAAGAGGAAGTTGAATCCCCTGTCAATTACCCTAGTCTATCAAGTGTCAAGGAGGATACTAATAATATGCCAAAGAGAACAATAAGTTTTATGAAAGAAAAAGAGGCTAAAGTGGATGACAAAGTAGTGACACCTGTGGACTCGATAAAACTTCCGGTTAATGGGACCAAAGTTTCAGATTTGTTGAATAAAAATAAAATTACCGAAGTGTCTCATCCTAAAAATAATTTAGAAAAAATGACAGATGTGGTAAACCATAATGAAAAAGTTGAAAAGAGTGTTGGACAAGATTTTGAAAAATCAAAAGGTTCATGTGCACCAACACACAGACATAAATCAACTTCTGGAACATCATCATCTGGTAGTAAGAAATATGAATGTGCTAAGTGCCACAAGCGTAGTAAAATTAAACGTTACAATATAGGTGTACAGTGCCGGCGTGATAAGACGGATTCAAAATCTTCGCCACATTCATTGTCTGGATCGGCACCATGTGTGACCCAACCGTGTTTTGCTAAAGTGGATTTTGGAAGTAAACATGTATCCTTGCCAAGACCCCCATGTAATGGTAAGCCTGGCTTGGAGAAATATAAATATGGTAACTATATGCATATAGAAACATATCCTAATGGAGATGCAACCGTGGTGCACATGTATCAAGAGGAGATTGACGCTCTAAGCACTGAACAACAAGAGGAATTGGCAACTGAATTTCTAGAGGTAAGAAAGGTGTTTATATTTTACATTTGTTACTAGTGACTGATGTAAATACACACATGGTTAAACATTTGATTCATTATTCATATTTGCATTAAAATTAAAGCTTTTAATCCTTTTGTCTTAAATGATCTTATCACCAAAGAGTAATTTTGTTGTAGTATCTCATCTTGTAATTTTTTTTTTTTTATCTAATACAGTTTGTCTTTGTATCTTTTGTCCTTACAAATTTTAATATTTCTTTTACTTGCTCTATTGAACTTACCCATTCCCTTCTTAATCTTGCTCATCAAAGATTTTGCCGTTTCTAATTCTGTTTCAGCAATTATATATTAGCACCAACTCACATTCTAATTTTCTCAGGATTCACATGTTGGACAAGATGTTTTGGTTAGATTAGGGATTAAACCTCTCTGTCCTTGCAAAATATTTTTGTTAGATTAGGAAATATAATGTATTAATTAACACTTTCGTGCTCCCGGCAATCGAGAAAAAAACTTGCCCCTTGTGCGCGCGGTGTTTCGGGCGATCGAGCGGCAACACTGAAAAGTGTATACTCTTTTTCACTGTCCTGACCTTAATTTTCAATGTACGTTTTTCATTTTTGTAGCAATGTGTTCGCAATAGAATGTTCTAGAAGAACATATGTATAAAATGTCACCAAAGCATGAGTTAGACCAGCACCAAATAAAGAACTACGTCGATCACTAGCTGTGAGCACCAAACAGCGACGAAATGTTTCTACTCTTTTTCAGGGTTGTCAACTCCACACTTGTCCTACAGCATTAAATTTGGTATCACTGAGATTGCAATAAAATTCCCTATGCGGACATATGCACATAAATGTAGAATCATAGTCGTGGCCCACCCGCAAGAGTATGGGAAGTGGCCTAAGTGTTACCCGTTACCGTACACTCAACGGCACATCGGCAAGACCCCTATTGAAAAGTGTATACTCTTTAGACTGTTCTGACCTTAATTTTCGATGTATGAATTTAATTTTTGTAGCAATGTGTTCGCAATAGAATGTTCTAGAAGAACATAAGTATAAAATGTCACACAAGGATGCGTTAGACCGGCACCAAATAAAAAACTACGTCGATCACTAGCTGTGAGCGCCAAACAGTGATTTTGTTGGGATTGTACACCTTGAGAGTTGGCCACCCCATGCCATCACCATGCGACCTATTGGGGAGAACGGGAATTTCATGCGCACATTTTGAAACTATCCCTAAGTCGATCGGATAAAAAATGGATTTTATAGAAATATTTTTTCTCGTGACTTGTGAGCGAGTCAGTTACGTGGACTCAAGAGAAACATTGGTTGCCGCTCTCGAGCGGCACGAACGCGCGAAAGTGTAGTATTGATAAAAAATAACATGCGTTATTCACCAAGGGTTGAGATGTGGCTCCACATGATTCTGGAATAAATTTTAGTTCATTTTGAGTGGGATTATTTGTTTTTATGTGGAATTTTGTTACCGAGATCTCTGTAGAGGAATTTGGCTGGATGCTATGGTTCCATCAACTTTTAATCGGTTAATACCATGGCAACTTTAAAAGTGCCTCAACATTTTTGCATTTTGGGCAAAAGAGCGCCGCGCCACCCCAAGGTGTGCCTGGCATTCCATTAGAGAGCGCAGTAATACTGAAAAGTGTAAACTCTCTTCAACTTTGTCATCTCAATTCTCGTCCTAGGTTTTCAATTTGATAACAATGTGTTCCCAATAGATTAAAGGATTAAAAGGATATAAAGTCCAGAAGCCCGGCATACCACCCGCACAAAACAGAGAAAGTGAGAGCGTGTTACCTGGGAGCGTGCAAGAGCAATAAAATGTGTACACTCTTTTCACTTTGGTCACCTCAATTCTCGTTCTAGGTCTTTCATTTTGGTATCATTGTGTTCGCAATAGAATAACCTACAGGAGTATATGCATATATATAAAATCCTAAAGCTGGGTGTACCACCCACAGCAAACAGAGAAAGTGACAGCTCGTTACTCCCGTGAGCACTCGAGCAATTCACTTACCTGTGACGCCTTACTTGTTGAAGGCGCTTGGCTTGATTTTCTTACCATATAAGAATCAAGTTTAGCTTGCCTTCTGTGTTCATTGGCATGTTGTATGATCAGCTCTTTGGTTCACCTCAGGCTTCACTTCACTTGAAGTCGACCGACCATTTTCACAATGTTGTATAACACATAACTTGTCTTTAATTGTTAGGACAACCTTCTTCCTCATAACACCTCCAGAACGATTGATGCTGCTACCAGACATAGTCTTGGCCAAAAATGTTCAAAGTTACTATGAAAATAAAAAAGTTATTTAAAAAAATAGTTCACTAATGGCGCAGCATTGTAGTATAACACGAGGGATGGGAGCACATGGGTTTATCAGGATTGGACACGTCCACTTTTGGCAGCTATGACATGTTACGTAGGCCGCCAGGAGGAAAAAACTCGCAATATTTTTTAAGGAAACTTCAGCCTGTGCAAATTGTTTTTAGGAAACTTATAAATTTGTTATTACATAATTACTAGTATTTCTTTTGTTTTTGGCTATGATGAATTGTTTTAAAATTAATGGTAGTTCCTGTACTGTAGTGTATAGGCCTCTCCACATCCCCCTTATCCTCCCAGGTGGTCACACCCAACGCTCCCCTCTCTCCCGACACCACCCACCCCCTCCTCCACCATGTGCCTCGAGCCACAGTCAGACAAGATTAATACGGTATGGCCCGCCCCATGGCTTTCATATCCGGACAATTCAATGATTATCCGGCTGACTGTCCGGATAGTGTAACATCGGCAGCAAATTAACCGGCTCCGATTTTTTATCTGGCTAAACCAGCTTTTACCCGGCTCCCATGGCAATTTGGTCTGATATTGAGATAACTTTATCCCATCACGATTTTGGCCGTATAAGGGCGTTTTCCGGATGTTCGAATCCCAGATAATCGAGTGGTTACAGTATATAACAAAATACAACATAATAACAGTTACTCATTATTATTTGTGTTATTATGTATTACTCAGCAATAATATGAAGGCATCAACTGCATATCCACTTTGTGGACACTTCTTACTACTATTCTTCTTTTTTGAGTGTCGGACAGGTGCTTGCATCTCTTTATTACTGCATTATCCTTCAGTTCCAGTTATTAGGAGCTGTTCTCCTTACCAACAAAACGTTCTTATTTTTTTTAAATTCGTCTCAAATCAATTTCTGAAAATATTTTGATGAAAGTTTCACGAAATCCTCACGTCAAGGATTTGGGAATAATGATGTCCGACGACCTAAGTTTAGGGAGCATAACCAAGCAATTATTGCGTCAGCCAGAAAAATGATAGGATGGATTACGAGAACCTTCAAGTCAAGAAATGTCAGTTTAGCCCAACTGACTGGTTTTCTCTGCTGTATAATTTTTCATTTGAGCATAATGGACAAATACTGTAGTATCAGCTGTAATTTTTTTTCTGGTAAGTCCCTTGTTGCTACCTGAAGCTACTATACCTATGTAGAGCCATCAATTGCGGAGTTCTTATTGGCCTACTAGGGATCACGAGTCAGAACGGCCCCCCCCCCCCCCTCAAAGAAGCACAGGGAGAAGTGGCACTGAAAAATTATGTAAATTTATTTATGTCTATCACCACCAAGCTAAGGCATCCCAAAAGTCGGCAAAACAAAACAAACCACTGCTTGGTTATAAGCCAGACCACAGCCTCAAAACAGCCAAAACAACTCCCTCAATGTAAACAAATGCTTGAAAATTCATGAAATTAGCATGAGCTAGTTCGCCCCACCTTCCCTATTGTTTGTGGGGAGGAGGGAGGCAGTCCATTCAGAGGCAGACTGGGTCAGCTGGCTGCTCCACCACCAGTTCTTATACTGCAGTATTTTTCTTTTGTCTTCTCGGTTTATGGTGACCCCTTCGGTCCGATATTGTTTTCAGAAGCATTATCTGGCTTCCAGTTGCCGGGTGGGGGAGCTTTATACTATTGATCGATGCTGGGGTTTTTATTCTTCTGGTCCTGGTAGGTGCTTTGTTCATTTGCACCCGGCTCCTTCTTTTCTGGTGAAGAATGAGTTTGGTAGCTTCCAGAGGAGCCCTCTGGTGATGGATGCTTGGTTGATTCAGCAGGGGGGTGCATCATGTGCTGAGTCTGGTGGCGACTTTACGCTGTTACCTTCGTGCTATCAGTTATGCTTCGGTGGACTCCTTGTGCGTTAATCCGGCTTCCCTCGTTCCATGTTCCAGGGCTCAAGTTTCTCAGGTCATTCGCAGTGTCATAAAGTCTAGCCAGCCTGCGGTCTACCCTCGTGCCCATGATGTCTGTAAGTATGCAGCCCTTTCAGCAATTTTTGCCAATATTTTGTGGGCTGATATTTGGGCATGGTGGTTTTGACAGCCAGGTATCTTACGAACATTCCCGTTCATCAATGGCCTTGAGTGGCCTTGGGTCATGTGTCATGGCCGTTGGTCTCTTCTTCTTGATACCTGTGGTGCTTCCTTCTCCCTGGTAAATGTGCTTTTCTGTGGGGAGCCCTGTCGGCTCCCAGAAGCTATGACTGATATTAGCTATATTAGTCTGGGGCTTCAGTCTTACGGAGTTTGAGCCTACCGGGGACCACTGGCCAGAACATGGTCCCATCAGAGAGATGCAGGGAGCAATGGCCTATGAAAGACTTTTGTATGAAAGTATTCATGTCAGCCATTGATAGGGGACACCCAGAGGGGACACCCATTAGACACCCAGAAAGGTAGGTGCCCCAAAACAGACTGATAGAAAAATTGCAACCTTAGACCAAACAGAGGCTAGAAACTCCTCCAAGGAAAGACAAGCTAACAAGCAACACGTCATCACACGGGTTCCGTGGCTTAATCCTTCCGAAGGTTTTCTACCTCTTGGATTTTCCCTGCAGAGGTTCGGGAGGTCCTTTGTGCCTATCTCCTGCGAAACTCGGATTTTGCCTCGGTGATTGACCCGGTCTCCATTGAGTTT